TCCATATCATCAATATGGTAATACACATATGTAATAAAACCTAAAGATTTAAACTTTTTTTTTTCAATTTAATGAATTTGAAATGATTACTATAAAATGTGTATCCTCATTGCATTTCATTTACAACTGTTTTTTATCCAAATGAACAAAAAATGGAATATTTTTTAGTTATTGATATAACTATTCATAGTTTGGGTCAGCGACGACATTTTAACATTTCCAATGTAATACTGTTCAAGACTAATAGAATCTTTCACCCCCTTCGGGATGAGACATGGTAATCTCAACCCGAGGGTAATCTTACCCCGGGGGTTGAGATTACCCTGTATCACTCCCAAGGGGTGAATGATTATTTTTCTCTTACCCTGTTTACCCTCTTATGTATTTTATATAGACGTTACATCAATGCAAGACAATGTTGATGTGATGCGGCTGAATTGTCGACGTGACGTCATTGTATTGTTGCCATGACGTCATTGTATTGTTGCCGTGACGTCATGGTATTGTTGCTATGACGTCATGCAATTTTGAAAACGTGCAAAGAACACGTGTAGCTTGTCTCAACCCTAGGGTGAGATAAGAAAATCCCACACCGGTAAAATGGTTGATATCCCTGTCCAGGGTAAGAGAAATAATTGTTAAACGCGTCCCTCTGATAAACCTGTACACATACAATATGAAGGTAGTTGAGTTTGATATATAAAGGATCTGACATGTACCTGAGTGTACATGTCATATTAAATCTATCGAACTCGTTCAATAATTTGATATGACGTCCACCTAACGGCTCGTGTCATATTACACTATTGAACTCATTTAATAAATTTAATATGATATGTACACTCAAGTATATGCAAGACCCTCTATATATCGGGATATCAGAGGGTCGCGTTTAACAATTATGTCTGGATGAGTATTACTTTGGTCATGTTTATAACGTCGTCGCTGACTGAAATTATGAGTATAGCAATACAAACCCATTTGATCACAAAAACTGAATCCTAAATTATCAGCTAATGTTCATTAAGATATTTGATTGTATAGAAAACGATGGAATATTATTGAGTAGCCAATACAAATGGCGCAATCTTGTTGTCAAGCGTGACGTCATTAGAACCTGTCGTCATTATTAAGTTACTAATTCCTGCACTTAGGCAGACAAAGGTTCGTCGTTTTACTGTAACAATATAATGAATAAAAGTATATGATTGTCCTATTGGGTGGCAAATATATTTCACTCTTCTGGTGGGAAATACCGATATTTTCACAAAGTGTAGTAAAAGACAAGTGAATATGTATAGGTGTGGTTAATTAAAATAAAGCTATATATATTTGTAGAATTTTTCAGATATATATGGATCATTAATAAATGACGACACAAGCTTTCAATGACGTCAAAATACAGATACTAAAAATGTAGAATTCTCGTTAGTTTTTTTCAGTGATACCTGTGGTAGCCTCCACTCGGACGTCAGTACCGTCTAACATCATACTATACAGGTGGATACTGTATGAGGATCCGTAATATACCCGCCTGGAGATAGGATCGAACGCCATGGCCTCGATCTGATTTGATAAAGGTATTGCCGAGAAAGACCCATTTTCAAGTTTGTATACGGTATTTTCGGCAACTCCAGCGAGAAGAAAAAATCCATCAATGTCTGGAAGTGTAAAATAAATAAAGAATAATAATACCAAATGCAAATATTGACATCCTGACCCTAGTTCGCTATCTGATTCAAATAAACCAAATGGCGTTCAAAATCAAATGGACATGTTATCTAGGGATAACATCTAAAACGGATTTCTGAGTGATCGGCCGCTACAGTACAGTTGGGGGCGTACCTAGCCTTTGTTTGGAGTTGATTCATGGCTTTGCAACGGGGACGACAAAAGGAAGAAATAAACATTGTTTTTGTGTATTATTTAGTTTTTGTGTATTATTTAGTTTTATTATTGAAGTTGTCATATCAAGAGACGATAAGGAGAGAGAACATAATATCCTATACCAGCGAACTGATCCAAACTTTTAGAATATAGCTCATTTTACTAGTTTATAGTTTTAGGACTTTATCCCTACCAGAACGAACCAATCAAAACATTTCCCTGAGATCAAATACAGACCGCCTCGCCTACATCAGAACATCCGCGGCAACCATGTAAGAGTTGAGCAGGGAAAGTATTCTAAATTGTCCTGTAAATTTTGTTTGTTATTGATCAACATGATATCACAGGAAACATGTCCCGGTATTTTTGTTTAATGTTTTAAGGATGTCTATGCGATTTGTATCAGTATACTAAACAGTTAAAGTGTGGAATGTCCGGATATAGATTCCGAATCCCGAAGCGAACAAATCGTGTTTACAAGTAACAATGGCTACGGGTAGGTTAGCACAAGCTTCTGGTTTAAGGAAGCTGTAGTTATAGTCCCTTCATCCCCGTCATACTAGAAGGACAATATAAGTACTATTTCCCTTGTGTCTTTTTTATGAATTATAATAAATAATGTGTTAAAAGTTGATACACACTGGTTTACCTGGGAATATACCAGTATACCTCAGTATACACCAGTTTGATTCGGAAAATATGCATTTGGGAAATGGGAATTATTTCTAGATAATAAAACTGAAGCTCTCCACTATTTAAAACGGACTAATTCCATGGTACTGCATTCTAACCTATATTTCAATTATTCACCTATTACTACGGTTATCAATCAATTCTATAGAAAGATTAATTGGTCTAACCACATAAAATATTTTTGACAAAGTTTACAGAAGACTAAATATGCTTAGAATGTTAAAATAAAGAACTGATAGAAAATCGCCTGAGATAATATATACCATGTTTATACGCCCTATTCTGTGAATAGGCCTAGTGTATGGGCGGAATATATGCAGAATGAATGCATCGTCATGCATGTAGTTGAGGACACACATATTAGCACTGGTCTAAGACGTGGAACAAGTCATGATATCGTATAAAACTGGTTTGTATTACACTAAGTAGATGAGGACTCTTCCACCAAATATACATTCCTTTAAAGTTTTAATAAGAAACGCCCCTCTCCTGTTACTGATACGATTTAACCATCTATCACTACCAACACCGACACCTAGACACATAGAAAGTTTGATGTTCCAGTACCAAGAACGAAATAA